CTCGTATTGTTGCCTTTCGTAATAGACCAAGGCGTGATTGCAAGTTATTTGGTGGAGAAAAAGATGGCGTATATGGTTCCTAGGGATGAGTTGGATGGGTCGTTTACGCCAGAATCGTTGGCTGACTCACTGAGTCTTGTGATGGTGAGAGAAGAAGGAAAGATGTATAGAGACAAAGCCAAAGAGATGATGTCGATGTTTGGTGGCAGAGATATTCAAGACAAGTGTTTGGATGAGGTGCTGCAATTTTTTCAAAAGTCTTTGAAATGATAGTTTGGTTTCGGAGGTCCGTGAAATAACTATAGACCGTTAGAACCTAAACACTGTCGGTCATATCAACTTATCAAGTGTATAATCTTTCTATACTAAATAAAAGTTTGTTTTTATAAGTTTTTTTTTTTTTTTTCTCTTAGAGATTTGTATTTAATATTTGTAGTATTTGAAGAGTTTGTCAAATATCAATAAATTAGGTGTAAGATTTATTTATTAAATGGGTTAATTAAAAAAAATTAAATATAAATGTCTAAATATTTAAGAATTTTGCTTTTATAAAAAAATAAATAAAAAATAATGAATTATTAATTTTTTTTTATCTTTTGAATTTAAATAAATAAACAAAATAAACCAATAAACTTTAATTTAGGAATTTTGAAATAAGAATGTAAATCAATTAAAAATTTTGATATTTATTTATTACTACATTTATTGTAATTATTATATTAAAGTATTATGTAGAATTTATTAAAATAGAAAAACTCATAAAATAATATGTGGGAAAAAAAATAATTCAAAATAACCATAAAATTACAATGATAAATGAAATGAAAATGTGATATATAGTAAAAAAAAAATTATTATGATAGATTTAATGTAATCCTTTAAGATGGAATCAAGTAATTTAATAAACATTAACTTATTACTACTATATCCTCTGTAATTACTTCCAACTGTATTTTACTATTTAGCTTACATTTTGTAAAATCTCTGAATATTAGACATATATTACTTCATATATAATATCAAATTTAAAAATATTAAATATATTTACGACATAAATATATGTTTATCTTTCTTTTTTGAAATTATTGTTCCTATTTTCTGTGTAACTATATCATGTAAATAAGGAGACTATGATTTTCATTCCAATTTTATCTCGTTAAATAAGGAACTTTTTATTTCTACGATAATATAAACCATCTTTTTTTGAAACAATAGATTTATGTTACTCTTAAACTAATACTCCTAAATCCACCTATGTTCCTAATGGGACTTGAACCCTTGATCTTAAGAACGAAAAACAACACCAGACATCGTTGGACTAGAAGTTCATTGGTTAATAAAAACAATCAAATATTGTATTTTCTCTGTCATTCTTCATTTCAAATTGTATTCTTTTCAATCGACAATAATTTTTGCAAGTAATTCATAAATATAAGTACATGACTTAGTGTATTTTTGTCATTTTCTTTAATCTCTAAAAATACTAATCAACTATTTCTTATTGTATCAGTGGACAAATAACCATTTTTTTAGTTTAAACCAAATTGATGAAAATATGTTCTGAAAAAGTAGCAACACATAGCAGTCAAAATTATTATATCCGTTCGAAAATAAAATAAGGTAATAATTTTATGTGTAACTAAATCCCATTAAATCATGTAATAATTCTCGAAATCTCCTAAAAAAGTTCATAAGTATTACTTTATCATATATTTTCCTCAATCAATGTTTTATAAGTATTACAAATACTATATTTCACATAATTATTTGAATTAACGATTATAATTTTATATAAACAAAGAAATATAAATCTCATAATTAATAATTTATTGAAAATAATTGCTTAATAATTTAGAATTTTTACTATAAAATTTTAATTATTTTTGTAATCATCGTTCCCAATCATTATAACCTAGTAACTAATAAATGCTGGTGAAATTTGTGAATCAGATTATCTTTTAAATAGAAGTGAAAGTAGATTTGTTATTTATTTACTTTTTTCTTATAAAAAGAGGACGATATATCCATCTCTCTTAAATCTTCTAACTATGAAAATGACATTCTCAAAAAGAATTCCTGGATCATGGGTACACTTCAATTTCACTTTTTACTTTTTTCTTTGGATATGTGTTTTTTCTGCCTTACCGTAAGTCTCACTACTTCCCGGCTCTCCTTGTTCTCCCTTTTTGTATCATATCTAAATAGAAATTGTTTAAAATTTCTAACTATTTTACATCTGAACATAATTCTAAAGAGACTATTGCATCCAACTAGAATCACGACATCCCAGAAAACCAAATGTACAAATTGTCTTAGAATCTCAAACATCTAAAAGGTCATTTAAGAATTCTCTTACACAAATAGAGCAAACTTTTCGCCAAGGTCATAAAATCTTGGCTAGAATCCAAATTGACCTTGAGAGGGATCCTCACAATAAAGATCTTCATGAAGAACATAGTCGATACCTAAATGCCTATAATTAGGCTTGTATTGACTAAAATCTTTGCTAGAATCCAAACTAGGTTGTTTAGTTCGGGGAAAGAGACAAAAAAAATCTTTTTTTCCATAAAACCATAAAAACTCGCAATACCATGAACCACATCAATATCATCCGAAACAACAATGACGAATGGTTGAATGGGGATGCTTTTCCAAGCCTTTTTGTCTCCCATCTTTAAGAGTTTATGGCACCATCCACCCCTCTACTCCAATTCACGATCAAATGTCTCTCTTCTCCAATAATCTTAGTAAGGATTAAGCTACTTCTATGTTTCATCCTATCACATAACAAAAAGTGAATAATGTCATCTTCCAAATGGATGACGACAAAACCCCGATTCCTTATAGTTTCATAACCAAGTTCTTTAAATCATCTTGGGGTTCTACATTTCGTGATTTTTTTCTTTCCGGGAAACTTCTCACGACCCTCAACAGCATCATCATTTCCCTAATTTCTAAAACTAACTCTCCAACCAAATCTATTGATGTTTTCCCTATTATATGTTGCAATTTCATCTATAAAATCATCAGCAAGATCATTGTGGATCGTATAAAAGACCTTGGTTAATGAAAATCAACATTTATTAATTGGACGCTTAATCACAGTCAATGTTCTTCATGTTCAAGAGCCTATGCGTGATTGCCATAGGCATCATGTCCCATCCATATGCACCTTCTAAGTTTATTTCTAAAAGATGTATGATATTGTTGATTGGCATTTCCTCGGCACATCCATGTTTGGCTTTGGTTTCCCTCTTTCCATGATTGAATGGATTTTTGACATGTGCTTGACAACAATATACTTGAACGAATTTTTCGACAAATATTTGGATTCAAAGCTCCTTTGGCTTGACTCATTGTATTAGTAATATTAGTAACATTTTTCGAGTTTTATAGAAAGTATTTTTTTTACTAATAACGTTAATTACTTAATTAAAAAAATCATATATTTGTTCATCCTCATGCGGATAAAGGAAGTTTTCAAAAGCAATAACTCATTTTTATATCAACCATATTTTTTTAATGATCAAATGTATTATAATGCAAATAAATAATACAATGATATCATGTGGAGCGGTCTTTCTTAACATCGATGGACTTTATTAAATATCTAGCAAATAAGTCATTTATATCCCCATAAATTTGTTTAATTTTTTTAGGGTTTTATATAGAAAATTATCATTATTTTGGGAAAATTTTTAATAAAGTTCTAAAAAAAAATTAACAGAAAAGTCTCAATTATTTAACATTTTTTCAAATTAACGAAAAAATCATTTTTTATATTTTAACGGTTAATAACATATTATGTGATTTTTTTTTAAATAATGAGATTTTTCTATTTAAAAAAACTTTAAGACTTTATCAAAAATTTTCCCAAAATAATAGGGTTTTTTCGCATAAAACGTTTTTTTTTTTTTATTATGTCATGCTTTAGAGTCATACGAATTTATTGACAAAAAAATGGTTGTAAATTTTTTTTTGATAAATCTATAATATGAATAATTGGATTGATAATTTGTGTGCTGCTTCACCTTAGTTGTGTTTGAACAAACATACATCAACATTTTTCCTTTGACATGATTTCTAATAATTTCAAAGTAAAATAAATTAGTATTAATGAAACTAAACTAAAGTTGCTACTTTATTGTAACTTATAATTACTCATTTTGATTGTTTAGTTTAAATTACAGCAAGTCATTTATAACGTGTTAAATTAATTAGTTATTAATTCTAAAATAATATATTTGACTATCAAATAAATAATGATCGGACAAGACAATTGGTAGATGGGATTCAATCGGTATAAACCTTTTATGAAAATCCAACAACTAGATGATTGTGGCTATTCTAGCACCACTATATGGGTTATAACTAATTTAACACGTTATAAATGACTAATTATACGTAAAATAAACTAATTAAACTAATTATAAATCGAATTAACTAATTTATTTTTAAAGCTTAGTTTCTTTGCTTTTGCAAAATAATTTTCATCTAGTCGGTATATTTACAATAGTAAACTAATTAAACTAATTATATATCAAATTAACTAATTTATTTTTAAAGCCCATTTCCTTTTGCTTTTGCAAACTAATTTTCATCTACTCGGTATATTTACAATCATTTTTAAACTTCTTCTTTTCCTTTTGCAAAATAAATATTATATGTTCGTTTTTTAGAATAGTCTTCATGTTTTAAATTTGGGTAAATTACACCGTTGGTCCCTCGTGCACATGCCAGAAAGCATGTTTAGTCCCTATTTCCAAAATTTAACTCGTGCAGTCCCTCGTTGTTATTTATCTTGCATGGTTAGTCCCTATGTACGTTAACTGTTAACTCCTTCCGTTTAAGCCACCCACGTGCCTTGCACGCAGGGGCATTTTCGTCTTTTCAGGGTTTGTATATATGAACCAGTATGGCGCGACTTCGATAACCGATCATTTCTGATTTCATCCTCCGTCGACCCTTAGCATTGCACGAGAAAACCCTAGTTTTCTACGATGGTGAACTGGAGGATTAGGCAAGAATGGGAGGAATACGATCTCCAAAGCTCATACGGTAAAATTTTCTACATTTTCAGTTGATCATCCATTATACGTTCCTAAAACGTAATTTTTTTTTGGGTTCGCAGCTGACAATCCATGTATGTTCTCGATACGATTGAACTATGGTGGAGTTTTTACGAAGTTTCCAGGCCGCAAATACATAAAGGGGAAGATGAAATATATTGATGGCATTGATAGTGACTTGTTCTCGGTGCATGATATGGACGAGATAATGGAATTGCTTGGTTGTGTGGAACCAGGTAAAAGTATTTATTATCATTTCAAACGACCAACCTGTGATTTAGATTTTGGGTTATATGCTTTGGGTTGTGACGAAGATATAAACCACTTTAGGTCATACGTGTATGAACACAAGGTGATAGAAGTGTATACAGAGTTTTGGGAAACCAAGCTCCATACGTATCAAATGTCCCCAAACCCTGCAAAGATAAAGATACACGAAATTCCTGAGTCCCTTTGTCGTAAAAGCTTGTTATTGACATGGTCAAATTCAGGGGATTGTCCTAGTGAAGAAGCCCCTGTTTTTGAGAATGTAGAAACTATGGACGAACCCCCTAGTACATTACTTGAAACAACCTTGGAACAACCCCTTGTTACATTGAGTGAAACAGTTGAGTCAACCCCTGCCTATATACCAAGAATTGAAAGCCCTTTGACTGAACCAATGATAGGAAGCACATGTCCTAATGTTGATGGTTGGGATGATACATTTGAATGGTGTGGGACTCCTATGGAATAAGATGAACCAAATAGTGAAAAAGCAGGTGAAGACAGTCAAGCTAGTAAAGACAGTCATGATAGTGATGACACTGAAGATAGTGAATACAGTCAAGATAGCGATTACATAGTTGATGAAGATAATTTGTTAGATGATCCAGAGGTTGATATGAAGAACTTTCACCTCAACATTGACAAAGAGGTGGAGTGGGTTGGAAGTTTTCCTGATGATCGAGATGAAGCAGTAGAAGGTGATGAAGAATTAGAGGTTATAAACACTGAAGAATTTGTATCTGCATCTTCATCAGATGAGGGTGAAGCTAGTAAAAAAAGGAAGAAGATAAGAGATTTACGAAGAGCACATAAGAATGAAGCAGCTGCTATCAAAGATCCATTTTACATCCACCAGACTTTTAGCACAGCCAAGGAAGTTAAGCAACAAATTTATCTTCATTCCATACAGAGTAGAAGGGAGTTAGACTTCGTCAAGAATGACAAAAATAGGATTAGAGTGGTTTGCAAAGGGACAATACCAAACCTTGGCAGACCAAAAAAAAGAGAAGAAGATCTGCAACAGAAGATGATGGAGTGTCCACAAAATGGAAATCTGTAACATGCACAAAATGTGGAAATGTGGGCCATAATGGAAGGACCTGCAAGGGACAATCACATACTGGGAATGGAACAGGAGAAGGTGCAGCAGGGAATACAACAGGAGAAGGTGCAGCAGGTAGCAGTGGTGGTGTACAAAATGGAGTTGGGAACAAAGGAAAAAGCCCCATGCTTTGAGAATTTGTAGTGTTGTATTTTGATACTTTGTTGTTATGTGTTGTATTTTGATACTTTGTTGCTGTGTAGGATAACTGTTTGTATGCCACAAGACTATGTTGTTATTTTGGATGTCCCTTTATGTTAATGGTCAATGGTTATCTTGGATATTTTAGAGTTTTTGTCCTTTTTAATTGTTATATTGGATGCTAGTATTGAATGGTATATTGCATATGTTGCCATTACAATATACACATACCAACTGATAACATTGAATGGTATATTGCATAGTATTGAATGGTATATTGCATATGTTGCATATGCTAGTATTGAATGGTATATTGCATATGTTGCATATGGTATATTGAATGGTTTAATTGTTTGTATGCCATATACCACATTTTCATTAAATTTGAACACCAACTGATAACACCACATTATGATTACACAATATATTGTAACTAAAATTGAAATTTTTTTGTTAATACAAATAACATTACAAAGAGTCTCCATTACAATATACACATACCAAAATACTAACAACTTCATTACTTAACCTACACTTTATATATAAGGACTGAAACAAAAAAAAACCCAGCTAATAACTAGGTAAAGCTTCAATTTGCGATTTTGTTCTTCAAGTTTCATCCTAAACGCCATACAATCACAGTCCTGATCATAATCATTCACCCATCCTATGAACTTGCATAATGGTCCCTGAACCAATTAAAGTAGATGAAGAATTAGGGCAAAATTAGAGAAGACGAAGAACGAAATTGAAGTCATTAACCTTACCTTTACTGTACAAGCATAATAGAGTTTCCCAGGGTTTCTTTTGCTATAAGATGTGCGAATCACTGCAGTGGCTCCACAATTGCATTTAATATCGATCATTGTTATGTATTTGGAAGAAATCGATCGAACGAGGGGAAGAGACGAACGAGGGGAAGAGACGAATGAGAGGATACAGAGGAAAAGAGGGTTGCAGTGTAACGGCATTAAATATAGACACAAACCCTGAAAAGACGAAAATGCCCCTGCGTGCAAGGCACGTGGGTGGCTTAAACGGAAGGAGTTAAAGTTAACGTACATAGGGACTAACCATGCAAGATAAATAACAACGAGGGACTGCACGAGTTAAATTTTGGAAATAGGGACTAAACATGCTTTCTGGCATGTGCACGAGGGACCAACGGTGTAATTTACCCTTTAAATTTTAAAAGATGGGTTTCTACTTATCGTAACCCTATTTTAAACCAACAACCTGAAAATATGAAAACAAGGTACGTGATTTTTCGACACATATTGGATTCAAAGCTCGTTTGCTCGACTCATTGGATTAGTAATATTACTAGCATTGTCGAGTTTCATAATAGCGTTAGTTATTTTAATTAAAAAGTCATATATTTATTCATCCTCATGCGGATGAATAAAATTTTCAAAAGCAAGAATTAATTTTAACATTAAACATGTTTTTTATTGATGAGATGTATTGTGATGCAAATAAATAATACAATGATATCATGCGAAGCAATATTAACATCGGTGGTTAAAGAGACTTTACCAAATATCTAGTAAGTCCTTTAAATCGTCGTGAATTTATTTGTTTTTTTTATTGTACCACGTTTTAGAGTCAAATGACTGTATTGATAAAATGTTATTGTAAAGCTTTCTTGATAAATCTATATCTCTTTGTCGACAAATCAAACCAATTTTTGAGACCTTATTGTATGATTACGTGGATAGATAATTTGCGTGCAAATTAATTATCCTAAAGTCATATTTGGTCATCATCACCTAGTTATGTTTGATAGGCAATACACTGACGTTTTTTCTTTCATATGATTTTTAATAATTTCATGGTGAAATACGTTATTATTAATGAAAATAAACTAAAGTTGCTATTTTAGTGTAAGTTAATTACTCTTTTTAATAGTTTAGTTTAATATATAGTTAGTAATTTATAATAATCTAAATTAGTTACTAATTCTATAATAATACTGTAAATAATTGTCATACAAGACAGTTGGCAGACTATTCGGTATAAACCTTTCAAGAAAATCTAATAATAAAGTTGATTGTGACTATTCTACACATCACTGTTTGGGTTATATCTATGAACATTACAATTGAAACTAATAATTGTAGGGAAGTTTAGGGTTTGTGGTGGAGATCTGGATATCAACTTAGATCGTGATGTTGTTTTCCGAACTGATATTTCTACCTTATGTCTGGATTACAAGAAATTCAGTGTAGGATAATCCAAGTGGACACTTACGATTCTAGGCACATAAATTGTAAGCCAATATACTAGAGGATTCTATGGAAGTATGATGAAAACCGAGAGCTTAAGATCGTAACCCCCTTCTGAAGAGGAAGAATTATAAATGTATTAAACGAGATTAGGGTTTCATTAGGGTTGGGTCGTCATTAGTTGCTTTGGAAGCAAGTCATGATCATCCGGATTTAATGAGGATTTAGGGTTACCAAAACTATCGATCTTCGTTAGTTTTACCATAATCACCCTCCCTTGGACCCCGCTAGGGGCGCTGCCCCTTTGGAAACCTCGGACCCCCGACTAGTCGTCGAACCGGGTTCTAATTCGATCTTATACATGCGTGCACTCTACACAACCCCTGTACACATATTAGAGTACAAATTATGAAGCTCATTAGCTCACATGTTAGTTCCAATTACTTAAATGGCATGGTGACACTAAAATCACCGACAATCCTCCCCCATTTTAGTGTAACCTTTGAACAAACATAACCTTATCAAACAAACCAAACTAGTACATAATGAAAATATCGAAACGATTGAATTTCCACTTAGTATCATACATTTGCAAATACTCGAGAATCAGGGTGTTCTAAGAATTGAACCCATCAACCCATTTAAATACCGGAAAGTATAATACATACTAGTTTATTGAATTTCTAGCAAAATACAACTTGACACTATTATAAAGAAGTGTGTCCCAATCCTCTCATTATCGTATTAAGGTCAAGTCCACAACCTCTTGAAATGCGGTTACACTTCACAATCATGTAGGTAACTCCTTTCCATGTATTAGCACATACATTTATCAAAGGAATTATTAAGAAGTTAAACTTCAACCTGACTAACTTGCAGAACCAAACACATAACTAGGATGAATACTTCATGTGTTCCAATCTATAAGTATGAGATTTACACATTGAATTCAACTCCTAACATTAGATTAGGAGGGAATTAGGTGTCTCATCATTATAGAATTAAATGGACTTTAATCCCATCCCGATTATAGACTTATGCACTAAGTCTCTTGTCAGACTGTAACATTCGATTTTCCCAGGTACACTATTTAATTATTTAAATTGTTTGTAATGGAGTGACTCGACGAGTTGGTGCTTCAACTCGTCAAGTAGGGTCGCGACTTGGTGACGTGGAAAATGAATGGACTCGACGAGTCGGAGAGGTGACTCGCTGAGTCTGCGCTGACGAGGGAAACCCTAATTTCTCGGGCCTGTGACCTATTTAAAGACCCTTAAGGCCTCCTATTGCAGCTACCCTTCAGGAGAGAAACCCTAAATCATGTTTGAGAGCTTGGATTGAGGAAGAAGGATTTTGTGAAGCTTTTTGTGGTCATTTTTGCAATAAGGAGGAAGGATTCAAGCTAAAGGACCAAGAGGAGGTGTTGGATCTGCTAGGTTCATACTCAAGATATTAGTAGAGGTATAAATCTCAACTCTTATCCTTTCCTTTGTGTAGATTTCTCATTTTGTGGAAATTAGGGCTTTTCTTCTTCATTTCTTTTGGGGTTTTTATTGATTGAGAGTTGTGAGGAGGCTTAAACCCCAAATCTGGACCCTAGTAGGTCCTAAACGTCTTAAGGACCATGCTTTAATCAATTTTGGTGAAGCTCTATGTGTGTATAACCTTGTTAGCTCATCGTTTTGGCATTTCTTGCTCTAAATGTCATGCATGGACGTAAAGTCAATGACTTTATGGGACTAATGAGTCCTATGAGAGTAGATTTGAAGTTTGGGAAAAGATCTGGCCCTGAAACCGTCTGAATGCATGAAGATCTAAGTAGACTTGTCGAGTCTATGAGTTGACTCGGCGTGTAGTCTAGGGTTTGTCCCGAGTAACTAAGTCGCGTAGTAACTTAATGAGTTGGGAGATTGACCCGTCGAGTGGGGCAATTTCAGAGGGTCATTGGGAATTGATGGGACTCGACGAGTCACTCAAGTGTACTCAGTGAGTTTTGGTCAAAATTTGGCTGTTGACTAGACTTTGACTTCTTCTAACTTTAGGGTCTGGTCAAGATGTGTAAGGGAGAACAGTGAGGGGCATAATGGTCTCTTAACCAATTCTAGGGCTAAGAGTGTAAGAAGAATGTCAATTAGAAATGTTATATTCATAATAGGCAGGAGCTAGATCGAGGATTTAGAGCATGAGATTTTACTAGTTATTCCACGAGGTGAGTCTTCTCACTATACTTTACCTGGAACGGTAACTATGTGTATGTATGAGACTTTATGTGATATATGACCGGAAGGTCTTATGTATTTATACGAGTTACGTGACTTTATGTCATATGTATATGTCGTATGTTTGGGACCGAAGGTCAATAGAGTTAAGGCCGGAAGGCAATCAGAGTTGGGGTCTGATAAGTCTATTTTATGAATGTACTAAATTGTCACAAATCTGTTGAATTGATGTATAATTGTCCAAGAATAACACTACTTTGATGAGTTGATGGAATTCATATGCAGGTCAATATATTGTACTAAAAGTGTGTGGAACCCGCAAGAAAAACGAGCAAACTGAAGTTAACAAGCGTGAGAGACGAATTGCTAAAGGAATGAAGAAAAATGGTGCTGAGAAATTTGACCATTCTTCAATGTTTTGATCATATCCAAAGATCTAGAGCTCCAATTGACATGAACGAAGAAGTTCTGGAAACTAGACAAAATTTCCTACAACTTTCATGTTTTGCGTTTTTACTGATTCTACGGTTTTCATAACCAAAAACGAGCGACAAAGATGAGGGACGTCCTAGAACGCGTCTAAGACGCCCCCTAGGACGCCTACCCGTTTTAGGCCATTTTCAAGTGCAAATCAAGGATGGCAGAAGGCATGTAAAACACCCCGAAGGATGCCTGGACGTCCTATATAACGTCTAAGACGCCTACTAGGACGCTGACGCGGAAAACAACTCCGAAAATCAGTTTTTCAGCACCTATTTAAAGGAGATTTAAACCCTAATTGACTTAGGACTCCTCCCCTGCGATTTTCACCAGTTTTGGAGGGTTCCAAACATTATCCAAACGCATTTTTGATCATCAATTTCTGAATCCGATGCTACAAATCACCAAGTTCATCATCATTCAACAACTGAACTCGTTCAATCGGTGGATCTTCATCAACCTCCAGATTTGGTTACTTCTTCTCCAAGATTTCATCGTTCAATGATTGATTGATCATTAGATTTTTTTAGTTATATGATTTCAAGTTGGTTTATGAATTTTATTATGAATTACATTGTTTTTATTCAAGTTTTGTGTTTTGTGAATTCTATGGAAGGCTAAACCACCTAGGTTACTTTCTGGAATGTTTAGGATGATTTGATGAACGTGTTTTGATTATTACTTCTATTCCAATCAACTTTGGTAATTATATGTTCTTAAATTTATGATTTCTATTAATGATAATTGAAGTTGGGTGTTATTCATTTGTTTGATTTTACAATTAAGATAGTTTAGGAATTAAGATGACCGGTTGAATCAACATATAATATTCCAAACTTGTGATTTTAAATGCTAAACATTGTAATTGGTAATCGTAAGACACAATATTTTCAAGCCACTCATTGTTCCTAATCCGTTTAGACATAGGGAGTAAGATAATTAGTAGGAATAACATATTGTGTGCCCAAAGTTATTTATTGCATTTTAATTGACCTTAATTATGTCTAGGTAATTAAATTGGAATTTAAGGGAAGATAAACACGTGAGTCTTAATCATCCGACATTGAACCTGAATTAACCTTGTTTTTCTCATTGGTAATCGTTTGCAATATAAAGTTTCTAGTTTTTTAATTAAATCTTAGTTTAAATATTTTTCGTGACAATTGCAAGTATTAGTTCTTTTTCATTGACTACTATAGCACCAAGTTTGACCACAAACTTCTCGTGGATTCGACCCTTACTTACCCTAGCTATCTAGTGGTTTTGAGGGTATTTTTGATTGAGACAACGACCTCGATCAAAATTTGGCGCCGTTGTCGGGGAGATTGTGCGCTTGAATTAGTGTGTTGAAGTAGTCTTTATATTTTTTGTTTTATTTTTAGTTTAGAATCTTCACTCGTTTACTGTTATTTTTTTGTAGGCACAGTGGTGAATGGAAGAATTGAATCAAGATATGTGGTGGGAGAGAGAAAATTCAAGCCAATATCAATGTTATAATGATCTCTACTATGAGTCATATAATGATGATACATGTGATGATCCATATCATGATGATTGTTGGTGGACTGACGATTCAACTCAAAGCCAACACCATGAATCACCTTGTTTTCTGGAGGACCATCAATCAGATGAATCTTCATTTAGAAAAAAGTTGGATCAAATGTTGTACATATTGAGTGAAACGTTCAACAAAGAAGAAGACAACTCCAAGTCAATTTCAGTTATTGAAAAACAATTAGAACATATAGCTAAGAACCTAAATCAACAACCTTCAGACAATCTTTCAAACACTATGTTGGTGAATGATGTTACTTTTCCATGTAGTAAATATTAATAGATAACAAAAACCATAAACTTACACCACCCGAACTAGAGCTTGTGGTGGAGGATTATGCATCTTTAAATGATCAGGAGACTGAGAGTATTTCTGAAATCAAAGACGTTGAAATTGAATTGGATAAGTATAATGAAAATTTTCATGAGTTGGAAGAGTCCAAAGTTGGGGAGGGGTTTGTGGAGGCTAATACCATCCCCTACCCAATAATTTTGAAAACACCTGAAACACAACTTTTTGTTCTTACAGATTCTAAAATAAATTCCAAATACAAACAAACAAATTTAATCATTGACCGTCCCTTATTGGCAACCATCTATGCTCAGATTGGTTGTCAGGAAGGTGCAATTGATATGTTATTTGGAAATCATAAGGTGAGATGTCTTGTGTTTGGACCTACTAATGATTCTCCAATTAGTGGTGATTACTGTGTAATTCATGATTATGTCTATGAGCATACCGCAAATATGCTCTCCGACACCACCCTCGATTTGGAGAAAATTTTCTCGTGTAACAGGTCAAAATCATTGGATAATAGTGGGATTCAACACATGGAAAGAAAGTTGTGGAACAAAAAACATGATGCAACACATGCCCACAAATCATCAATGAAAGTGTTACATGATATCAAGCATCGATTAAAGAAGTTTACTAGATGGAAAGATGCATGGCTCTTCAAAACAAGGTTTAACCATCATTGTGGAAGGATTAAACGCAAAATAGTTGATTTTCACAAGGCCAAAAAAGGTTTTCCACATGATCAGGTTCCTCAAAGTAAGGTGAGCAACCTCATGGTTGACTTTTAAAAATGTCCACGAATATATGAGCCTTCATAGACATCACTCGAGGTAACTCGTCCCGCTAATGACATTAAACTTGGCAATTTTGGAACTTTATGGGTGTGCTCACTGCAAACCCTCACGAGACTTCACTCGTCCACTAGGGTAACCTAGTGGTTTAAAAGGCTTGTTGCACGTGCGAAGTGCAATCGTGGACCCCGGCGAAATTGAGGGCTAGTTAGTGTAGTTTATTTTTCTTTGCTTTGATTTGTGTGCTTGTAGTTTTTTTCTCTTTTATTATTTTAGGAATTTATCTTTTGATGCATCGAGGACGATGCAAGACTTAAAGTTGGGGAGGGGTCTACACAAGAAAAAGATGGAGGATTGAAGAAAATGTGATTTTTATTTTTTTAAAAAAAATCATAATTATTCGATGTTTATTTGGGCATAACGAAACATTATGCATATACCTCCAACTAGTGAAGTTTTTTTTTGGAAATCAAAATCGCCTCTACCATCAGTACCATCAGGTGTGTCATCCTCCATATTTTTAATTTCTTTTACATTAACTTTGATGATTTTTTTAGGTTATCAACTTAGGATGAATGTACTTGATGGGTTTTGGTCATAAGACATCCTATGTGCTCATACAAACCCTAATGCTTGGATCTAGGTTTCTCTATTGTAAATGCTTTGAATCCAAGACTATAAACCCTAATTCTAGCATACATATAATCATATTAACATGAGAATAAGTTTATAATGTTACCTTGATTGTTATGTAGCAATAACAATCCCAAATCTCCTTGTATTGACTTTGGAATGCTTAGAGTCACAAGTGTCACTCCTCTAATGGCTTACAAACACCATAAGCAAGTAGAGAAGGTATAAAGAGAGAGGAGAGAGGTTAGAATTCGTCCTTAGGAATTCTTGGGAAGGCTTACACGAATTCATGAGCCAAGGGGTGTTTATATAGGTGTAGAGATAGGGTTTCAGTCATTATCCTCATCTAGTTGCTTATCCACAAAGCAACCCATAAGATAATCCTTGAATCCTTATCATAGTCGAATTCTAAGGCCTTATCACCTCAAATTCATTCACCATATATTTAAGATAATCCTTACCTTATTTTGTAACTATCACATAATTACAAATCAGCCCCTCTAGTTTAATTAATTACACTTGATCACAAAATTAATTCCTAATTAATTATTGACCAATATTAATTAAACAAATATGATTTCTCCTTTAATATATTATTCTTATAACATATTAATAAATCATAATATCCTCTCTCTCTTTATTTATTTCTCCAATCAAGTTGCTTTGGTGAAGGCAACCCAAAAGGACCATGCACCATCGGGTCAAGTACACACCAAAATAGTTATGGACTTAGACACTAATCCAACAGTATCCCACTTGGATAAGTCTAACAACTATTAGGCGTATGTCTTCATATCCTGATCTGCAATCGTAGCTTTACAAAGCCGCTGTCAACTCTGATCATATCAGATACACGTGTCCTTAGATAAGGGATCATATATTCCTCCATTCTAGATATCGTATGAGATATGATTTCAAATCATTCTCTTTGTACTATATCTCGATTACTGATTTATGACGACAGACTAATTGAACAAATCAAATTAGCCCTAGCCCGGCCGAGCATTTACGTTTGTCATCACTAAACCATCGAGGGGCCCAAAAGATATCGCTTTTATTCTTTGAATAAAAGGAATGGATAAACTTTGATACAATGCTTGCTTGCACTCACTCACCGAATTACACACAACAATATGTTTTATAACACCAAGTTACTAGTGCGTTTACATATTATCAATGTGCAACCGATTCGCAAGATACAACTCACACATCTCAGTTTCAAGAATATAAGATGTTATCGTCTCACCAATCACTCGTAATACAATTCATGGAGTGATCCAAGTGAGCGTGGGTTTAATCCAATGCTCAAATCATATTCATAAGCACTCATGAACGTTGCAGCAAACATTTGCTTATGTCTAATACTCTTTTAGACAATCCACACACCAATTCACAACAATATTCATTCATATCTACTTCCAACATATGAATGACTGTGGCCCGTTTGAATAATTCGATTATTCTTAATAAACTCAATTATTCTGGAAGTCAAAACATGCAAGGTGAAACACAAGAATAATACTAATCCCATATGGCCTCAAACCTTTGAGTATAAATGAAACTCCTTTTATTTATCACCATACCGATTACTCATTATTTGTCGTTTCAGGTAATCAACTTCTTACTTGAATTATTACACTTGTCCCATGCTCCTGGCATGCACACAATGTTTACCTATGGTTCTTACTTTGTGAAATAGACCAAATTGAATACATTTCCAATCATTCTCATTTCACAACTCCAAATCCTTTTTCATAAGTGTGAGAATATCAAATTCTCCCAACTTATAGAATATGCCAGATTCTAACACTTTATGCAACGATCCTTTCGTAATGTCATTGTATCAAAGTCACAAAGACTATTGCCAATGATATTACAAAGTTCTCTAACGGAGATCGTTACAAGACAATTCCTTAGATATGATGTCTCTCACTCAAAGTACATTTCTTTGAACATCCTTTTGCATAAAAGTTTCTAATCTAGTCATAGATTTTCAATATTTACTTCCCAATATGGACACGCTTCCATATTTTCCACATGACAACTCATTCTTAATAGAATCTTTTTATTTGTAATGATGTCGATATGGTCCATCCAATATGGAAACATTTCCATATTTTCCAATACTATACTTTCAACTACTCACAAGCGACCAATCCTCGTCGAACTTTGGATTGTCCTTTGATAGTTGTTTAATTATTTTAGTCAAAACCAATTCTAGTCCCTTTTCCCTCTAAATGCGCTAGATATTTGGAAAATTTTAGAATGGTCAAACATTAAAGCATTTGCAATCGATCCTATACCCGAAGCATATGGGACACGATGCACAATGTTTTAGTTGCTATGTTCTCAAAATTCGAATTGTGAAGAGGAATGCCTTAATCATAATCAAAATTTTAAGAACACACTATGTACCTTTGACTAAATCTATTAACGTTTCACAACCTAATCCTTTAGATTTGAAATGAAGCATAATATTCTCTCCCTTAATTATAGCAAAACAAATTTACAACCCTTACGACTTTGCAAGGTATAACTCTTGTTTTTCTATAATTAATATTGCCAACTTGCAATACTTTCCATAATAATCATACAATCATAACTTTTATGCTCCCACTATCATGATGATTACTATAAAACATAACATTTATGCTCCCACTAGCTTCGACATGTATTCATAAACATCTTAACTTTCAGAAAGACAATACCTATTGAATTTCTTAAGTCCATGTTTCTAATACTTAGTGTTTTGATAATCTTTTATCAAGGCTTCTTGAACTTATACACCTTTGCCTTAGATAGTTCATATGTGTGTCTTAACAATTAAGACTAATTGCCAAACTTCACAATTCAAATTATGGAAAGGGATACCGTAACCATGATCGAATTCGAGAATGCAATTTTACAATCACTATCTTCTTAAAATCTTTCTTAGTGAAAGCATTTCCTCACAATCATTTTCATGAAGGAGGAAATCTTATGACACTTAGATTTAAATGGTGTATTTGTTCCTATCCATGTGAATTTGTTAAAACCAAAGTTTACGACAAATTCAAACTCATATGGACCGAGCCTTTTTTAATCTTGATTTCTTGCCTTATGGTAGCACAGCTGCCCACCACGTCTTCCAAGTAGTTAAGCAGCTCACCTTTTCCTATCAATGTACCTTTCATTGATTAAGGTGCCTTGCCTTTTATGCGTTCAACCATGAGAACTCATAAGACTCACATGCATAATTAACTCAATTGGAACAACACAGAATCAAAATATTGTCAACACGATAGGTTGTAAACCTCAACTCGTGTGCTAGTGATGATCGCTAAGGTTTATTTGATTTGTTCTTGAAACCTTTCCAGACCAATAAGACTCCCACTGACTCCTTGACATATAAGATTCTTTTGTCAATAAACATTTCTTGACAAACAAATATTCAAGAGTTAGTGTAGTTTTTATCAAAACACTTCATAAATTGGTCCTAGTCGATCTTTGTCTTATTCAAGACATCACAACTTTCCACATTTGATGAATGTTATAAACCTTTAATACTTTTCACTCATTGTCACAATCTTAACTTTAAGACTTGTTATTGGAACGAAGTATGATAGACTTCTTGATTTAACCATTTCTTCAATCCTTGATTCCTCTTCTTAAACATACAATTGTACTAAGACTCATTTAGAGGATCAATTGAGATGGTTCTTAATCATTAAGACATATCATAAAGCATAAAAGGTACTCTCCCTTCTTCTTAGAATGGAGAAACTTTTATCTTTCTGCCTACTTGACTCTTCTTATTCGTTCTGCTATTGATTTAAACATTTTCAATCAATTCAGAATTACACTTAATCTTATAAGCATAATCATATTTACTAAACTTTTAGTAAATCATGACGAATGTCTTTGTTACTCTTATGGTGGACTTTGATCAACACGCAACTTTGTGCACTTGATCTCCTAGTCCTTCACTTGACACTATGTCAATGAATTAGTCTAATTTCCAAAATATGAAATTTCTCATTCATCGTGCAACCAAGTTGCATGATTCCAAGTTTCTGTCCAATTGAAACTTGGGCGATGAGAAACTCTCCCTATTTGGTAAATTCTCGACATTTCCATAAATAACATAACTAAGAATCATATCCATTCGTTATAGAAATATGCAAACATCAATTTTCATAACGATTTCATTGCAAGGAAGTAAACAAATAAATAAATAAGTCAAACAAAATTTATTTTATTTATAAAAGCAGCGGAAAAACATTTGTCCTTACAATGCAAAATCTATTGAAAACTATGTAAAAGGAAAATTTCTAACAACTCTATCATAACTATCTAAGCTCAAAATCCAATCTTCAAGTCCATGC